CTTTTTTTTTTTTTTTTTGTACCGGGATCAAACTAGGAACCTTGCGCTTGCAAAGCAGGCAGCGGAACTACTGAGCTGAATCCCTGGCCCTAATTTGACATTTTGGGAAGCATGTTCCCAGAGCATGGGAGCCCCAGCTCAGACGGCTCTGGGAAGGCGCAGTCTTTCCAGGGACCTGTCCTCGTCTGCAGAGCAGTGTTCGCACAGACTCGGTGAAATGGAGGGTGTACTTAAGGGAAGGGTGTTAGGACTGTTCTCTGAGTTCTTACTCTGTGTTGTTCTCTATGCTTGGCATTTTCTAAAATTCACCCCTCGCTATATCTCTGCCAGACAGTCTTCCTCATTTTACCTATGGTGCAATAGCCTGGGAGGTCCCCGGAGGAATGCAGACACCAGCTGCCTCCCTGGTGGCCCAGAGCTTCATGGAGGCCAGTTTTGTGCAGTAGTAGCCTCACCTTGCAGGATACTGTTGGGTTTGTTCACCAGCGGTTGCTTATGTTCTTTTTTTTTAACAGAAGAAAGAATCTGTGAAGATGAAACAAGATGAAGAAATAAAACAAATAGATGAAGAGAAAACGAAGCAGATTTATAAGAGCTGGAAGGAAGATTCAGAGTGGCAGGCATCTCGTGAGTACCCAGGGGCTTTAGTAGCGCCTTTGAGCCTCTCAGCTGAATCTTTTACATAATATAATGATCCATCTGGGATGCACTGAAAGTGAGTCATCCGAGTAATGTCTTAACACGGAATTGTACTTGAATGTTCTTACCAAGTGATTACTAAAATGTTTACAATCTCCTTTTGACTAGCAGAACGGTTCTTAATCCATCTTGGTACCACCAGAAGGATAATATATCTAGGTGATAGAATGGTATCTAGCTATGAAAAGCATGCTTTGGAAGAGTTCTTAATGACTTCGGAATACACTTTTATGTCTTTAGCTTGGAGAAGTAAAACATTGAAAAACAGCATGAAAAAAATCACTATTTTTGAAAGCCTAAGTAATGAAGGGAAACAACTGAAAAATTATTAACATTAGTTTTCTTAGAGAAGTGGGATTTAAAATTTTTGATTTAATAGCCAATAATTACATGAAAACATATTTAACATTACTGGTTATTCAAGAAATGCAAATTAAAACAACACTGAGGTTCCACCTCACCCCAGAAAGAATGGCTGCCATCAAGAAATCCACCAATAACAAATGCTGGTGGGGCTGTGGGGAGAAAGGAACCTTTCTCCATTGTTGGTGGGAGTGCAGACTGGGTGCAGCCACTGTGGAAATGTTTCAAAATAAGTAAAAATAGAAATTCTGTTTGACCCAGCTATTCCCCTTCTAGGTGTCTTTCTGAAAGAGTTAAACACATCCTGTCCTAGTGGTACATACATACCCATGTTCATAGCAGCGCAGTTCATAATAGCTAAATCTTGGAAGCAGCCTCTATGTTCATCAACAGATGGACGGATAAAGAAAATGTAATCTTTCTACATGATGGAGTGCTTCTCTACATAAAGAAGGGTGAATTTGAGTCATTTGTAGGAAAATAGATGTACTTTGAGATCATCATGTTAAGTGAAGTAAATCAGACACATAAACTTAACTACCCCATGGTTTCTCTAATATGAGAAACTCAATATATAAAAAAAGACACAGTAAAAAATAGATAATAGGGCTGGAGATTTAGCTGCCTTGCAGGCATAAGGACCCGAGTTCCATCCCCAGTACTGCAACAAAAGAAAAGAAAAAGAAAAACAAAAACAAATAGATAATGTGAAATAGGGAGATAGATTTTTCTCACATGGGAAAGGGATCAAGAGACGGAGGGAGGAAAAGGGGAAGGGGTGACAAAAGAATTAAGGTGTGATGTGTGCGTGTGCCAGTCCCTATGAGGAACGTAATCATTATATACTGCAAACATGCACTAATAACAATTAAAAACATTATTTGAATTTTTACTTCTTATTCTTCTGCTTTGAGTCCCCTTGCCCCGCTACATTTTCAGTGGTGAATACAATCTTTAAAAGTTGTATTTTGTTTTTTAATCCACACATACTCATTGTTCTCATGGGCTAGAGTGTGCTGTTTGAGTACCTGCAACTTTGTGACGTGAAGAACATGGGGATCATAAGCCGAATGTAAATATCCACTAGTGCTCTGGCCCGACGACCCCTTGCTAAGCTGGCATTGCCAGAGGTAAACTCCACGGGAGAAAAAGCCAGTGCCAAAGAAGGCCGAGCACAGGACGCTTCAGGGTGCTAGAATTGAGGTTTGAGAAAGGATTAGAGCATCATGGATCAAGAAGTTTAAACTCTGCCTGAGGCAGGTCAATCAAGAGAAAGGAACTGGCGGTACTTGTGGAATATTGAAAAATTTAAATTAGTTTCCAGTCTCATTACAACAAATGCCATTAAAATATTTTTTTTTTTTGTGTGTGTGTGTGAAACAAAAATATTTGCAAGCCATCCTGTGCTACCCACTGAAATCCAATACCATGGATAATATTTTCGCTATCTCTTTGAAGTCAAGTTTAACAGAATTTGACCAGTAATATCTGAAGTATAAATACACTCAATAAAAATTATTTTCCATTCTACATTAGTCTTTAACACTACGTGGCTAAAACAACCCAAAACCCCCTGTGTATTACAAAATGACACTAAAAGGCAACCTCGTGGTGTGCTTTGTGGGTACCGAGTCGTTCTGCATGGTCTAGAACATACTTAAGGTTATGCATCCTTTTATTTTTTTTGTCATCGGGCCAGTTCACATTTGGTTTGGCTCATAACAACCCTGCTGCTCTCCTCCCTGACCCCAGCCACATGACACGGAGTAGTGCCGCCTGCCGGGTTTCTGCGAGGGCCTCAGGGCCACTGTGCCCTGAACAGGAGGGTGTGAGGGGTGTGGCCCCGCCCTTATTTTCCCTGCCCGGTCCACTGGAATCCACGCTCAGGCTGGGGCTCCTGACTTAGTCTTGCCGACTGCAGGGATTCCCGCCCTTTCTCCTCTTCCTTTGTTCTCCCTCTCAGAATCCAGCCAGCTCCCAAACGAAGAAGAGGAGTTGTGTGGGGACTGTTGGGTGAGCCCTAAGATCTGGATAACAGGCATCAGTCGTGACTGTGCATTCATATAAGCACACGGAGGTCTCTGCAGCGCCTGCTCTATGCCCTCTTGTGTGCCGCAGAGTCTCCTCGCGTCTCTGTGCGCTGATGAAGGTCTTTCTCAAACCCTGTTGTTTCTAGTGCGAAAATCCAAAGCAGCTGATGAGAAGAGGCGCTCCTTGGCTAAGCAAGCCCGGGAAGACTACAAGAGGCTGTCCCAGAGAGGGAGGAGCGGCGAGAGTGCCCCACAGAAGCCCAGAAGACCTCCCCTCCCACCCAAGCCCCAGTTTCTGAGCCCAGGGGGCTGCCCTCCCAAGCCGCCAGGGTAAGGAGCCATGTGACGGCTTTGTGCCAAGCTGATCAAAGACCTATGTACCCAGAGACAAGTGGTACCAGCCAGCTGCTCATGTCTTTATCCTCACCACTGACCCTCTCTGGGAGTGCTCGTGTGGGCTTCTCACCTGTGTAATGTCCACATAGCAACAACAACAACAATAGTATTCATACTATATCACCAATAATATGGTGAAAATGAGCACCCACTTAGATGAATTCCTGTGCCCTGTACCCTCCCAGTGGCAGCAGGCAGGCCATTGAGGGGCAGTGGGGACAGTGGGTTTCTTAAATCCTCAAGATGCTCTTCGTATGAAAGAATAAACAGGGCTCTAAGGGCTTGCTGACTATCACATCACTAGGACCACATTTCACCGCTGAAAAGTCAAGGTTTGATGGCTGTCCTCGTGCTGAGATACACAGCCAGGTTCAGATTTGGATACTCTGGAAAGTCTTTATTTTCTGACCACTGTACCTTCACCTCCTAGACTATAGGGGCATATATAGAGAACAATTTTGGGGGCAAATTTTTGAAGAAAAGTACAGTGATAGTATAGCAGAAACCACCTGTCTTTCATGTCTACTGATTATAAAGTTATTTTTTTTCCTGGCTACTGATAGATTATTTTTAGATAATTTAATTGTTATTTATTTAGGGGTACTGGGAATTGAACCCAGGGCCTTATACATGCTGGGCAAGTGTTCTACCACTAAACTACACTCCCATCTTTAATATTTAGAATGAAAATATTTAAAATCAGTTATTGATTGAGTGAGTCAATTTCCGTAGCCCTGCCTTCTGAAACGAAAACTAAAAATACTTCTTTGTCAGGTGCATGGTGAAATGAAAAACAAGCAAAAATCTCCCTTTGCTTGGAGCCAGTATTTATTTTAAGCTTCTTTCTTTCTTAACAGGGATTATAACCTTAGAGGAAACATGAAGGTGAACTTTTTCCTCTACTGTAATTTTTTCCACTTAGTCTACTGAAAGGTTCCATTTTGGGACGGAGGCACCAATTCTAAATGACCATGTTCTACAAAGTGACAGTCTGGGGAATGTTTTTTTTTTCCTTGCAGACAATAAAACAAGAAAGACAGGAAGAGTGTGTCCCCTTAGTTCCAGATCACACAGCTTCATGGACCTCCTATCTCATACAGGCTTGTCTGTGTGCCTGCTGGCCACAGAGTCTGGCCCAGGGCTGTCTGTCTTTTGGGGTAGCAAGGTAATGTGACTTGCCAGATGTCCCTGTCCTACAGTATTTTTAGAGCAGAGTGTATTTGATTGACAGCAATGAAGTGGTCTATAAAAAAAGTTCTCATAAGCTGTGCTTGGCTCATCTTTTCCAACTTCACATGCTGCCTGAAGTGCTCTTTGTGCATCAGGCTGGATGGGCTTAGGCCGGGACTCTACAAACCATGATGGCCAAGGTCAGCCAGAAGCCAGCCCTGGACTGGACAGAGACTGGCTTTCCCATGTCTTGGTGTTTTGCTCCATTTCTAAAGATTTCTGGAGAAAAAGAATCTCATTTGGAAGCTATGTTATGAAAATATATCATATAATTTCATGTATACCCAGTGTCCTTCTTGAGAAAGTCAAATATTATAGGATATTTTTCTCCAAAATTCTCTGGAAATCATGAGATAATATGTACACTTCCATGTGTCTCTGATCTTCATAGCACATGTATCTGATGGTAGTGTAGATTACTACAAAAAGCATAAAGAGCCTCAAATTAATTTATATTACAGGGGATTCCAGTTGTTCAGCCAAACATTTTGCCATTGTTGCTTTTAAATTGAATTCGACTCAGTGGGCTGTTGTGTAGGACTTGGAAATGTGTTTACTACATTGTAATTTTGCTTTTCGTAGTGGAAATCCACTCACATTACAGACCTTGAGTTCCTCTACTAAATTTATTCAAAACCATTATGTTTCTTACTTTTTCTTCCTAGCCCTCAAGCAGTCTTCTTTCTTGTACTTTATATTCCTGAGACTAACTTTTAGCAGAACTAAATCTCTTCCAAGTGTGGGAAAGCAATTCAAGAAGGTTAGTGGAAACAGAAAATGAGAAAATCAAATAATGAAAATGTTAGGGAAGAAATTTGCCTTATCACATGTGATTTGTTTGTAAGTATATACTCTGCAGGAAAATACTTTTGGGTAGTATATTCCAACTTTTTAATGGTTCTGTTTTCACATTTTAAATGGGAGTTAATGGACCTTCTAATTCCTATTAAAAATGAATTTAAATGTTATATGTTAACACTGCAGTGGCTCATACCTAGCACTAACCGTTTAGGACTAGAAATCAAATGACAGATTAATGTTTTTTCCTCTGTCTGCTTTTAGGAGTTGTATAATGGTGATTTGTAAGGAGTCCGACATCCCATTAGCTCAGTCCAGTAGACGTTGCAATGTGTATAATACTCTCTCATTTTCTTCCGGTCTCTCTCTCCATCTGTCTGTCTCTGTCTCTCTTTGTGTCTCCCTCCCACACACATCTACACACACAGAGTTGTCCTTCGATATCCGCGATGAATTTGTTACAGGGCCCCTAAATGTATCAAAATCTGAAGACTCTCAAATTCCTTACATACAATGACACAGCATATAACGTGTATACATCCTCTGTATACTTTAAATCATCTTGACTATTTATAATGCCTAAAACATTGGAAATGCTATCTAAGTAGTTGTTATATTGTTGAGGGAATAAATGACAAGGAAAGAAGTCTGTACATGTTCATTACAAACACAGTTCTTTTCCTTTGGATATTTTTGATAGTCTGTTGAATCCAAGAATGCAGAACCCAGTATACAGAGGGCTGACAGTATATAATGTGTGTGTGTGCATATCTTTAACTCTGACCTGGAAACTGCCTTACATGTAACAGAAATCAGGGAGTGACAAGGACGGTGTCTAGCTCTGCCCAGGAGGACATCATCCAGTGGTTCAAAGAGAAGCAGCTTCCCTCCCGAGCTGGCTATGAGAAGACCTCAGATACCATTGCTCCTTGGTTCCATGGTGAGTGTGGAAGTCTCCTCAGGGGGTAGCCGAAAGCATGCTAATTCACCAGGAAGCCAGGGAGAAAAAAGCTTCCTTTCATTTGTACTGTGCAAAAGGAGTCAAGTTATGTTCACAAAGCCATTTTTCAGGGAGCTGCCTTAGCATGACTGTTTAGAAAGCAGTCGGCATTCATGGTCACTGCATGTGCTGCGGGCTAATTCATCACCACAGACACAACCCTCAGGGTGGGTGGGAAACACAGGGCTTCCTGCTGACTCACAGAGGGCATTTGATTCTGATGCCAGCGCACGGCAACCTTCCTTCCGCCCGGGCGGCAGCTGTGGCTGTTGGATATGGTAGGGCAGGGAGTTGGAAGGCAAGAGATCAGGCTTCCACCTAGTCGTCCATCTGGCAGTTGCATGACCATGAGCAGACTATTTTCTTTCTCTGTAGCAGATCAACTTGAGCTTCATTTTCCTCATTTCTTAATTGAAGGAGTTGAACTTTGTGATCTTTAATTTAAAAACTCCCTGGCTTTGATTCCTTGTTTCTTGTCTGTAGCTAAGGCTGCAAGGTGGATTTATGGGATGTTGAAGAGGTAACAGCTAATAAATCATTTCTGTATTTAACTCAAGGGACTTGATTAATTGAAGCTCTGTCTGTGCAGCTCAGACTTTACCGCCCTCTCAGTTTCTTAGATTTCAAGAAAAGTTGATGCCTTCATCTCCATGCTTCTATAAGGTCTGTGGTTGGGATTAAAGTACAGCTGAGTGCTTGAGCACTTACCTAGCATTCACAAGGCCCTGGGCTTCACTACCTAGCACCACACTCATGCCAAGTAATCTGTGGTTCAGTTGGGCTGACTGTGTAAATATACATCAAAAGATGCTTTAACGTTTAAAAATATTAAAGTTCCCCCTCCCAGCATACTTCTCCTGGGGTACCTTGGTCTGAATTACTTGGAAGGCATTTTTTATTTTGAGTAGTATTATTGCTCATGTGACTAGACCATAAGAAATAGTCTCCTAAATACGTAGCATAGCAAACTCTTGGAAAGAACAAAATTATTTCTGATAGCCTTTCTCCTGAAGGGCTGCTTTTGTAGCCAGAGGGTTATGAGAGAACTGTACAGGAATCCCTTGAAAATATGTATTTTTTGGTGAGCTGACTTTGATCATTGTCCATTCCTGGAGGAGGCTCCTCTGCCCCCAGGGTCAATGTCACAGCCTCCTTCCTTTGTGTTCTGCTTGGAAGACATTGTTTTCAGAGATAGGCAGAAAGAACCATGGCCAATGACATGGACAGTCTTTGTGACTATCTCGGCTGTCTGACGGCACCTTTTCTTCTTCTAAGAAAACCACTGAGGAAGTCAAGTATGTTGTCATATCTGTGTCATGGGGCAGAGGATGCTGTCATCTGTGATTACAAGAGTGGGCTATTTTTTTAACATCGGGGAATAAAAACCTGAAAATGTTTGTTGATGTTATTGAAAATTCTGGTACTTGAACTTTCTTTTAGAAACAGTTGAAAGAGAAGAAATCATAATTGGGTTAAAAATCTAGTTGGAGCTATGGTTCAACAATATAAACTGTTAAGTTTTACATGTAACCTATAAAATGTGCCATTGTTATTGATTTATTCTCATTTATACCATTTTTATTATACTTACGAGCAAAATAAATATTACAATAAGTAAATGCACAAATCAATATAAATCCTTATCCTCAGTTTTTAGAAAGCAGACTTGTATGTTTCCATGATAAAGAGACAATGGGTCATACTTCATCTATTTGAAGTACAGTTATTTATTGATCAGGAAGCCTGTTTTGCGATATTGGTGTGGTGGCTCCTTACTGGTTTACAGTCTTTTTGTCCTTCTCATTTGTTTTGTGACATAAATATCTAAAGATGCTGTTTTGCTCACCTTAATCTTCACACCTCAAAAATTTGTACTTTCATCTTTTTCTCTTTTTTTAAGTTTTAATCAAGGGTGGCAGTGAGTAAGAGGGGAAGGGAAATGAAGACTGCTGGATTTCTGGCTTTTGTGGCTGGGTAGAAGGTGGCCAGGCTACCCATGGAGAGAAGAACATAGGAGAAGGAGTTGGGAAGGGGAGAAGGGAAGAGAGGGTGGATGGACCATTTGTGAGATGATGGTGCGCAATCTGCTTGGGGCACTCAAGTGAAAATATCATTTGGTAATCAAATGAATGGATCAGTGCTGAAGATAATAGATTGGGAGCCGGTGGCGTGTATTTAAAACCTTGAGGGAATGCGATGTTCCAGGCATGGGTTAGGAAGAATGAGAAGAGAAGAGGGCCAGGGACAGACCATGAGGAGCACAAACTGAGGGTCTGAACGGGTGCTGTGAGGACCCACAGCAGACACTCCAGATCTTGGCCCGAGGCCTCCTTTTCACTTAGGGTCCTAATAAGTGAACTGGTGTGTGGCTCCTCAGTGTCCTTGAGGATGTAGAATTTTGATGAAAATCCCAAGGCCATTTCAGAGATCCTGAAATGAAGGTGCTGAACTCTATTTCCTGTGCATTTAGATATAAAAAGTGTCCCCACATCTACTCCATCAGTGAGAATTTAAGCTTTCTCAATGTGCATTCATAGAAGTACTGCGTCTCAGATTTCACTGGACTTTTGGTCCCACAAGGGAACTTGTGCAAGAATCTTGTGATAGTTCATTTTCTGTTGCCATAACAAAATACCTGAGGTTGAGTAATTGACAAAGAAATGAGGTTCATTCTGTATGTACTTCTGGAAGTCCAAGGACATGGACTCGCACCTACTAACCTTCTGGGGAGGGCTGAGCACTGCCCTGTTCATGGTGGAGAAGAGGAAGGGAGACAGCAGTGTGCAGAAGGGCCAAATATGTGGCTGGCCTTCCTCCAGAACCCACTCTTGCAAGAACTCATTCTTGTGAGTGCAAGGACTCACTCTGCCCAGTTTCAGGGAGAGGCATGGAGCCTACTTTTTATCTTAAAGTCCCGGGGATTGAACCCAGGGCCTTTGCACTGAGCTACTTCCATCCCCATCCCTTTCTTATTTTTTGAGACAGGATTGTGCCAAGTTGCTAAGTTGCCCAGGCTGGGCTCAAATTTAAGACCCTCCTGCCTCTGCCTCCTGGAGTGCTGAGATTATAGGTGTGCACCACCACACCTGGTGACTGGCCCCTCTTAATGACTTAATCATCTCTGGAAGCTCCCAGCTGACAGTGAGGACTGAAGCACAGCGTGAGTTTTGGTGGGGACAAACTGCATTCAGACCTCATTGAGAGTCTCAAGCTCGTTACTTCTGTTAATTTTCCGCAGTGCTAAAGCACAGTGCTAGCTTTCACCTGGGTTGATTTGGGGTTAGGAAGCAGAGAAATGAAGCTGACTGGCTGTCATCTCGGGCCTGCCTCCCACATTCCCTGAGGGTTGGACACTGACGCCAGGCTTTGTGCGCTGGGGTCCTCCGCACGGGTGGGCAGCCTCGCTCCTGTGCTTTGTGGCCACAGAACTGTGAATATAGACACACAGGGTCTGTGGGGGCCTTCCGAAGGGACTGGGTGATTTCTTGATATTTTTAAATATGGCTAATTTTACCTAATCTGGATGATCCACACTTGCACCCTGCGTCCTCATTGAGGCCCTTCCAGGGGATGAGCTCCGGGCGGTGCTGAGTCATGGATAACAGCGGTGTTGGTCTCTTTTCTGGCCTCCTGCCTCCGTCTAACTGGTCTCCTCTAACAGAGGCTCCTGTTCCCCACACTGTCAAACTGAGCTGCTCCCCAGGGGCCTCTGATGCCTCCTTGATCCGCTTCTGTCTCTTGCTTCCAGCCACCGAACCATGTTTCCCATCCCATTCAGGATTCCCTCAACTCCCTGCCTCCTTTCTGTTCCCCCGAACACTGCACTTGTCCCCATCTTAGGGCTTTGGCTGTTCTTCCTCTAGATGTTTTGGTAGCTGATTTCTTAAGAAACTGGCTCATGTGACATTGTCACACATTGTCAAGTCCAAAAGCTAATGAGGTAGGAGGCTTGTGTGACATTGTCAAAAGCTAATGAGGTAGGAGGGCAGGCTAGAGAAGCAGAGAATGGTGGCTTGACCCAAAGACCATCTGAGGCAGAATCCCTTCTTACCCAGAAAAGGTAGGCTTTGGTTCTGTTAAGGCCTTCAACTGATTAGATGAGGCCCACCCACATGATACTTTACTCAGTGTTCAGTCACTTAAATATTAATTTCATTCAAACCAAACATCTTCATAGAAATATCTAGAATAAGTTTTGACCAAATATCTAGACATTATGGCTCAACCTAATTGACATACAAAATTAATCATTAGAGTAACTGTCTTGGTAGGATTTTGTTGGCCTGCATGCAATCAATAACATTCATGTTAAGAATCATCTCTTTAATAGCAGCTGGATTTAAATTTTCAGAGTATAATTTGATAAAATCAGCTTTAAAAAAATCCTCAAAATGACAGTAATGGAAATAGTTACATGAATTCAGTTTTTTTCCCATTTCCTCATTTGAAAATTATGTTTCTTGGGCTGGGGATTTAGCTCAGTGGTTCCGTCACTTGCCTCACAAGCACAAGGTCCCAAATTCAATCCCTGGTACCAAAAAAAGAAAGAAAGAAAGAAAGAAAGAATTATGTTTCTTGTGAAATACCATAAACACAAAGTACTAAGAAAAATTTAACACTATGATGTAAGAAATGTTATACCTATTCTGCAGATGAGCTGAATGCTAACAGCCATATTTACTTCATCCCTAGTTTTTAAAATAAAACATGACAGATAGCATTAAGCGTTCCATGTCCTCTTTTCTTGCAGCAGTGAACCATTCTTCTGAAGCTGCTTTTCATCCATATTTTATACTATAAATATATAAACAGAGTCCACCAAAAATGTGTACACATTTTAGGACAAAAAAAGAAAACCTTGTGTAAATATTTTAATACTAAATGTAGTGTGACATCGTGAGATTCATATGTTACCTTGGGCCTCTGCGATTACAGGAGGT